GTTTATGTCACGAAAAAGTGATTACATTATCTGAATGAGGTGGTTATATATAGTGTCCGGATAGAGGGTGCATTGAAGTAGGTGGAGAATTTTGCAAATTGACATTTGCCAAGGGCCTTCGAGTGGGGTATAAAAAACTGGAGCAAGCATTTTCAATGCTTAGGTGGGCAAAGAGTGGAAACCATGGAAATCAAGAAATAGCTGTAGTGTCAGTGGAGGTAAGTATTATTGGAAGTACATTTTCAGTTTAAGAAAATGTTAACTTTTTTGTTTTTGTAAACTATATTTTTTTAATGTCACTTTCATTAAAATGTTGATTAGAATATGTAATATATTTTATTTATATTATTTTATATTTTCAATATGAGTATTATTCTACATTGTTGGGTTAGTATATATATTTAGAGTTAATTTAAATCTCTTAAGCTGAACCTTACAAGAAATTGTTGGAATTATGGCCAAAAATATTACTAACATAGCAATCCTCAACTGAAAACCAAGGCATTTTAATCATTATAAGAAAGAAAGGTATATTAGATTAGCTATATTAATTACAAGGCTAATATTTAGATCTAATCTTTGTATGTAATAGGGTTTGGTTGAAGTTAATAATAATTGCATAATAATAATTTGTAAAGCACACATAATCACTTTTAAAATTAATCATTTATTGTAGAGATTTCATTATATAGGTAATATATATACATATATTACTACTGGGACTTAGTTTAGGCCAATGGGACTCAGTTATGATATTCATATATATAAATGTTTATGACCATTATGTATTTTTAGAAGACTATATGTAAATTACATACTTGCAGGAACCTTATAGTATTTTCACACAAGCATGTATTATACTTGTATATACAAGTTATCAAATAAAAAAAGCTGAATTTATACTCTTACAAGTAGGTCAGTCCCAATGTTGTCTTTAAAATGTTTTTATAAGCCTTTTATGTTTTATATTGTTTACATTACTTAATTTGTGTAACTTGTAGGTTGTGAAGATATTTTTATAGAGAGTTTAAACCAGGAGAACCTTAGCCAGATTTTACAGTGGAGTGAACAACCTCATGGCTCCCAGTGGGTTCATCGTCAAGCTATGAATTATTTGCGTGAAGAATTCTCAGCATTAGTAGCATCGGGCACATTTGTTCATTTAGAAAAACATCACTTCAAACAAGCTATCACTTCTGATTTCCTACAGGTTACTTATTTTTATATTGTTTTATAGAAAGAAGTGTTAAACTTATTTGTCAAATTTATTGTGGTTAATATTAATTCGTAAGTCCATAATATTAACTGATAGTAAGGTTGCCAGGCCCTGAAAATAGAGCAAAGTGTAAAAGTACATGCAAATAGTTTTTATTTATTTATTTAATTTTTTGCCTAAATGAGTTCTCCAATATGCCTTGTTAAAGATTCTGACAGATACCCATTTGACATGTTAGAGCATTGGTTTCCACACTCATAAATCTTGTATAATAGAGAGATGAAAAAACAATTGAGATGTCTTCTCAATTATTTGACCAAGAAGACTAAAACTAATCACAAAGTTTTAGTTCAAAAGCAATCAGTGTCTGCAATATTATAAATCTGATTTCTGATGTATAAGTCTTAATACATACTATAATTACTTTAATCCACATCTTTATTAATATGACAGAAACACCATCTAGCTCTTTCTTCAAATGTTAGAAAATTATTCCACTTATTATTGGTGGAGAAGTGAGAATAAGGAAAATCATTGCATCAAATGTTGAACAGAAAAATGTTCTTCACATGGAAGTTCTGCAAGAAAGTTTAGAAAAAGATCCCAAAATTACAATAAAATTTCAAAATACATGTATCTTAAGTTATGTGTTAAATAGTTACTTTCAGTGTAAATGGAAACTTACTGGATGTAAGGGATTTTGCAGGGAGATACCCCTAAAAAAAAAGATGATCTGAATGCTAAGCTTATGAATTGTTTCATTTGTGGTGATAAGTGCTTGCCAAAAGACCCTAAGAATCCAAATACATGGAAATGTGTACATTGCAGAGCTATAGAGATAAGGCAGCATATTACTAGCAGTCAGCAATGAGAGATGATCTGGCATTGATATTTCAAGGAAGGTACCTTTCTCTTTTTCTTTCCATCTCCTGCTGTCAACCTTCTTCATAAGAAACTTCGTTTTTTTTTTTTAATCCTTGTTTTGCTTGCTTCATACTCAACATTTTTGATTTTGTTTAAATGCACTTAAAATTGTAACTGCCTTCTGGTGTGTGAAGTAATTATTACAACCTGGAGCATAAATTTATACCAATCACATGCCCTTTTCATAGTTTTAGGAGTATTTTACAGTCAGTTCTTCTTAACTTGAGATTTTGTTTAGTGGCAGAATGAAAAGTTTTCTTAACTTATTCCAGCACTAGTCTGCAAACCAAGACAAGCAATGGTCACTAATAAATTTTTCTCTCTATTTTTTTCCCACCATTGTCACTGTAGAGAGCTTGGTACAGAGGCATTAATGCTTTATAAGTATAACGATTATAGTATCTTAGCAAGTGTTCTTTAATATAATGCACAGATGCCTGTCACTTCATACAATGTAATTTACTAGGATACATTTTAATAGATATGCCACAGATTAAAATTTGTATTACATTTGATAGCACAATTAAAACATAAGGTTTGATGAGTTTTTTTATTTTGATACCATAAGTACAGTTTTTCCTTACAAACCTAGTTATAAACACATTGAAAACAAATTTTAAGTAGTAAAACAAAAATGCTCCACCATGTCAACTGGAGCCCATCAGAATCAGGACATGAAGGAGAAGCCATTATAGCAAAAGAATTATTTATATATACTTTTATGCTTTTCTTATTCAGCGATTGAACTATTATGGAAAAATGTGGAATAGTTCCACAGTTTTGTGTAAGAGAGAACATTATTTAACAAAAACCTAAAATATTGTAATGCCACTGGTATGTTTTTTACATTTTGTTTTCACTGTTTTCTCCCCATTTTTTTCTGAAAAAGTGCTGTGTAATACAGGTCAATAGTTTTAAAATCATTTAACCAGTTTTTAGATTGGAAACCTAGATCTTTTGTAAAAACTTTCAACTGATTATACATATTTTTTCTAGTCCAAAATGATATGTTTTTACACGTGTCTACTAACCTAAGATATAATGTTGATATCAGTGTCAAACACAATACATTATTGTGCCATTTAGTTAACAACACAATATAATATACCCAATCAGTATGAACATTTTTTAATAAGTGTCAGAATATACAATATCTATCTCTGAAGACAAGCTTCAACTTGTGAGATCAGAAAGTATTTCCAAAGTTTTGTGCTTGTACCATGCTTAATACTGTTGTAAGGTTTTATTTTGTACATTTGTGAATTTTATATCCGATCTTAAACTTGAAGAAAGACTACATACTTTAAAAATTTTCATAACACAAGTTGTTCAACAATTACTTAAGCTTAAAGCTTTAGACTTTATTTGGTAAAAGGAATGTGATATTTAAGAGATACATATGTTGATATATATTTATGTATGCTTAGGGGTCAGGTGTTGAAAATGTTATGCAAAAAAATACTCTTCAGATAATTAAAGAAAAGTGTAATTTTTTTATCAGTCTGAGTTTTAACTAGTTGAATTATACAGTCAAGAGATGTAAGTTCAAAATGTATAAAATGTAAATATTTTCAAAAATTATAAATTTTGAAATGTACTTGAAATAATATAGGATTTTAAACCTAAATCCTTGATTAAAAAAATCCAGGTGAAAACATTCAAGCTAGCCTTGTAAACTTACACAGTTGCGAGTCTGATAATTTTTATTATGTATTCCTGCTCATCTTAGTGTAAAATGCATCAGTATATGTAAGGGTACATGTATTTACCAAGAAAGTTGCTTTATATTTGTAACATCTCTTTACTTATGACAAACATTAGACAGTTTTGCTTAAAATGTAAAATTTTGTCTATGATTATGATTCTTGTTGTCACTTTTTAAGTTTTCAAGATGTACATGTAAAATAAGAGCTGGGCAATTAGTGGACTTTGTTAATTGATAAGTCATTGGGGTCATTAATCTATTACATTTGACTAATCAATTTTTCTTAGGAGATTTGGATTATTAGAATAAGGAAAAATAGTAATAATGGGAAACACTAACTTCAATTAGTTGGCTATTTTTGTGAGTCATGAAACTAGCCGATGTAATCAATGCTCTTAGGTAATCAAGTAATTGCTCCACTATAATTAACATTAGCCTTTTTTTTCTTTTTTAATACTAAGAAAGTATCTCATAATGACATGTTATCTTAGAAATCTTCAGGTTTTTCAATATTTTTAAAAAGTAGGTGGGTAATAATAAAGATGGGAGGGTAGCCCTGTTGGTGTGAAGCCTGCTTCTACTAGAGAATGTTTAAAATCAAGATAACCAGAAACACCATATCCTACACCTTACTGGTCATTTTTACAAAAGGGGTC